TGGAGCCACGCTCATTAAAGCACGATGTAAATCCGCCGCTCGGAAATTTTGGAACGTTAGGCGCTTTTAAACGTTTACATTTTGAAATGCACGTTTGACTTATTTGAAAATTCGTTTGGTATTTTTGAAGTCGGACTTTGAGAGAAGGGGACTTGGGCCTTTGTTATTTTTGAAACCTGGCTTTCGTAAAGTTTTAAAAAGGCCACAAATTACGTTTCATAGTTGACAATGTGTATAAAAGTTTAAACATGCAAGACTCAACTCAAAGTGGGGTTTACAATGCCAAATGTGCATTTCAATAATAAAAACAAGTTTCGAAAAGTATTTTCATTTATTTTTGCATTTTTGAAATGGTGCACGTTTGGGTTTCAAAAATGCCAACGCATACCAGATGCGCACCACTCTCAATGATGCCACAGTGTCATCTCATCACGTCTCACGGCGGGGGTTTCACGGCGGGGTCTCACGGCGGGGCGGGGTCTCACGGCGGGGGGTCTTCACGGCGGGTCTCACGGCGGGGCGGGCGGTTTGATCAATTAACAGCTATGATACAACTCATGTTTTGCGTGACGTTGTCCATCGGAATGTTGTGATTGGATGAATGCAATATATGGAATGTATATGTGCATAACTAATCAAAAACGTTTTGACTAATACGCAAAAATTGCCGTAAATTGTTGCAAATATTAGTACATAAATTCAAAAGCTTAGAAAGAACTCCCGTGTGCTAAGAGTATTGGATATATATAAATAATTAATTAGCCTTCCAAACAAGAAGCTTGGCACCTAATATTTGTCTGCTATGTACAACGTGAATACAATATGACCCACATTGCTTAAGTTTATAGTACTAACAGAAAATACTTTTGAATTTACATCTGTGGCTTTGAGTCTAATTTATCTCAGAGAACCATCAGTTCAATTCAAATCTGATCTGTTTAGAGAAATTCGCTAATAATAATTAGATATTCAATATGCATGTTTTCCATTAAACCAAACACGGATTACCCCCAGAGCATCTAAGGACCATATTTCAATGAAAGGTGATGGTTAATATGCACATTGTGCAAATTCGACAAATAGTATGCTCGAATTTCAATCCAAAAAATATTGCATTGTTCCCAAATCTTATTTTTAAAAATTTTGAAATTTATATGCAAATTAGGCAATTATTATGCATAGATTTCAACCCCAAACTATACAAATTAAGTAATTATTATTAATATTATTTATTATCATCTCACCGACTCCTTGTGGAGTATTGGAGTACAAAAGTAATTTACACACATCTGAGAGACATACAAACATAATGAGACTAACAAACGTTGCTAGGCGTGACAAATATTGATATTGAAGAGTTGGTTCATTTTTTCCGTATTCGCCCTAGCATCATAATTCTTTGTGAATAAATTGCTTCAGGCTACTTTAAATGCTGGATATATCAAAACAATTGCATTTCATCACCAGCCATGCACAGAGGACATGCATTACACAGTTGGTTATTTTGAAATCTACTTTCAGATATTGGTAATCTATGGTTGTCGCAGCGAAATCTTGTCAAACTAATACGATGTGCCACACTCATGGCGGATATATATCTTTCCAGGCCAGGCTTCATTTTTTAATCATATAATTTGAACATAAGTAATTTATTGGAATATACTTAACTAAACCAATTTTGTAATTCTATATTCTTAATTCTACACTTTTTTAAGCCACATTCTATCAACATTTTAAAAATCATGCCACGTTTTTGAATATCTAGATTGATCAAGTATTGCTTTAATTTTTGCCAGTCATTTTGTTTAAACTCATTATTGTCATACTGTTTTTAGTAGCCTGGACATTATGCTAGATAGTTTATTCGGTTTTCCATAGGCGAGGTGCATCCAGAAATGTATCATTCGCTTGTTTACTAGCCCAAGCAATGGAAACTTTCCGATCACACCATAAACCATGAATTTGCTATAGAAAACTTCATCTGATCTAACTTCTAAAATCCCCTTATGGACTGCCATAAAAGAGAATTGGCGTGACTAGTCTGTCAAACAAGTCACATACTTTTATTGCTACTGTACTGATAGAAACACTGTATTTCTAAAAATGCAATAAATATTATATTTACCATTGCGTCTTTCTGATAGGACATTGAGGGCGCTTGCATGTCAGGGCTAATTTTGATCGTAACAGGGCAGTGCGCGTCCGAAATGTATCCAGGATATATATGATAAACCGTACCTTCCATGGCTAAACTGAATGGTGTTCAGAATTACGCATAATGACGTAATCAACAACGCCAGATGCATTACCGATACCACAGCCATCACCTAAGTGCCCTGTTTATAAATTTCAGGTCCAGATCTTTACATAATTCAATTAATTTACGTCCATTGTTATAGGTGCAAGGATCCAAGTTGAATCATTTTGTTGGGTTTCCCAGTAATTCTAAATTCATATAAAATCATTCATTAGACCGGTTCTAGAGTGGAAATAAATAACATTGGTGAGTCGTACATAATTTTTAGGTTAATAAGATTATTTTTCATCACATCAAATGTCATCATGGTGATTGATAGACATGTTCTACGATCAATTCATAACCAATGTCACCATTGTCAACCCGTAGTCATAAAATACTTTGTTTCTTGAATTTGAGATACGTGATTGGTATATTTTTTGTAAGTAAAATACAGATGCCATAAATTCCTCTATATCTAGGCGACTTGCATTTTCTTTGTATTACAAAGTGTACATAGTTAGGAAAAATTCAATAACATGCATTTTAGGTTCGACAAGGAATACCAAGTCAAAATTTTGGATACATTTTTCCAAAATACCTCACTGCATCGTACTAGGCATACCACACACACATGGAGTCCCCTTAGGTGGCGCCCTCACTCAAGCACCACATCGTCCTTACTAAGTTGTTGGTCGAAGGGGACCAATATCATGGAATAGACGGCCAATTTACTTGTACGCCAAGGCTCGATCCCCCTACTTTTCTTGCATACCAGTCTCCTATGTTAACTTTACTTTTATTTTGTTGGCAAATCTACAAGTGAAATAAAGTTCTAGCTATGGATATTTATATAGTACTCTCAATTTAATTGGGATGCAGTTACAATATGGAATCTATTTGCGTCCAATACTCTCCCGTACAACCTCGATTGTGGGAGACAGGTTAGTGACCCATAATGCAACAGTTTGCTGTGTGATCTGCTCCAGGGGCTCTTCAGTGCAGATCATTCTCAGATCAGCATCACACAAGTTTTTCAGTGCTACTTTGAAGAGTGTTTCACTTTTATCTTGATGGAATGAGATGTTGGAACATTTGCAGTAACAGGATTGGAATCCTGAAGGAGACTAAAAACTACACAAAACATACCAGAACCTGTAAACATTGGGGTAGTCTTCGCTCTGTGAGACTATTAGAAGTTGAAAATGTGTTGTCCACTTGCTTTCACAAGTACTAATTAAATTTGATACTTTAATTTGTGTACCCTGAATGGTGCTAGTTAGTTTTAAATTGTAACTAGGATTATGTGAAGGCAAGGTTGGCATAAAATGTTTCAGTATACCAGTGTAGTTTAGACTTTGTAGCTATGATCTGTTAACACTGCAAATTCATTACATGTTTTGGAAAATAAATATTTTTGTTTGTATGTTTAATGAAGCGTAGTTAGACAAAGGCCATAGCCAAGTTTATTTTATTTTATTTGCATTGACCTTTTTTTTCTGAACACTAGACCACTGGAGACACCGCATTTTTCAACTGAAAAACAAAAGAACAGCCTGCCGTATATTGAATTACAAGTTTTCCCTAATAAACGTTAATTCAATAAAAAATTGAATGGAGATATATTCCTATATCTGATAAGTGCAAATAATTTCAAACTCTTGAATAACGTCAGCATCGGCACATCATGAATTTTTCAAAAGAGGCAGATAAATTAATTGATTAGGAATAATGATGCATTTTTTGACCCGATCATTTTGAGTATTGTTAAGGCTACTGCCCAATGTCACCACCTACATGAATCAGATTGCCTTATGGCAAACTCAAAATATATAGAAGCATGGCCATATATCTGCTAAGCTGTACCTGAATAAAATTGTACAATCACAAACAAATGTTTCAGATAAAATCAAGATAAATTAATTTTATTGATACAATTAAAAAATACATTTCAGGCACTAAGCCATCCACTGCATCACCATTGAGAAACAACAACCGACTCTCCATGACTTTATTGAGCACTTCACAGTAATAAACCCAACCAGTATTGTTTTGTACAGATATAGAACACAGTACAACCTGATGTATGCAAGTCATCAATTATATGCATATCTAATTATGAAGTACTTTTCATGGCTCTGTTACGTTTGTGCTTCATTATTTGGGAGTATTAGAACAAATGTATCATGGAATGATTAAGATCTGAACAGCAGTATCCCACAGGGCAATTCATACCAACCACTGTAGAATAATTTATTTTCGCTATTTTCGCTGAAGGGATAATTATGTGAAAATAAAATCCAGCGAATATACTTTCTTCCTATATTTCACATTATACTCATCAAAAATTGAAGTGAATTCCATATAAAACTCCCAAAAAGCCTTTTCAGCGAAAATTAATTCCAGCGAAAATAAAGTATTTCACAGTACCTAATTATGTAATTTTCTTTATTTTGGGATAATATTTTTTTTCTGTTCTATTAATAGTAGAGATTGTATTTCTTTTATTATAAGAGCACTAAACACAATTATAGTGACAGTAAACAAACTCTTCCAGAACAGCAATAGTGGAGACTGCAGATTAGTTCAAGTCAGTTATGTGTACAGAATACACAGACATATTTTTTTTCCTGGGCCAAAGTTCAAAACTACATTTTTTCCAAGATCTTTGCACCGAAAAACAACAGATATTCAAAGTTGATTTGTTGTCCTAATGTTTCTTAAATTGTTTTGTGCGTTTTTTCCCATGAATTTTTTGAAGCCTGATTACATGACAGAGCCTTTCATATCATAACCTAAATAAAGTAACTGGTTGGTATCATAGTTTAGCAGTTTTTATGTCACACTTCCCAAATATATATATATACATGCACCAATATACGAGACAAAATGTCTCAATTCATTATATTCTATATAATGTCCACCATTTCACTGTGATTCACTCATGAGCATCTCTACAGCTTTTTGTGCAGCATCATCCAGGTCAGAGGCTGATACAATTGGAAGATTACTATTATCTAATATTTGTCTAGCTGCATCAACGTTTGTCCCTGAAAGAGAAACAGACATCTCTATCATGATTTTTGCAGTATTATATAATATTAATAAAAAAAAATAACCTCATCGCTTTTTGCCTCATGATCAAATATCACTTGTTTTATTTTTCGAAGGTTAAATAAAAAGCAACCCTATTTTTGCAATTGTTCAGTCTACACTAATATTTACACAATCAAAACTCCATATTTTGCAGAAGAATGAGAATGTAAAACTGATGACACTTCGAGCTGCCATGTTACAGGATCAGAGACTGAACCTTTCATCAACAATGAATTTTACAATTGTAAAGATGTATAATAGGATGTCATTGCCATCATTTCTACTGAATTTAAATTCCATTTAATATACCCAAAATGCAATGATAACCCCAATATTTTCATTCGTCTGAAATTTTCACAAATTTTATGAAAATTGAAAATGAGTACATTAGTATGTAATCTGGGGCAGTGACAAACTAGTTCCTAAACTGTGCCAGTCACATTTCGCCCTACTTGATTTCTTTCACATTTTCATCACTGAACCTACCTGCTAGTCTGACAACCAGAGGTACTTCAAGTTTAATACCTTGCAATGCTGTTATCAAACCATTTGCTACTGTCGCACAGTTTACAATACCTCCAAATATGTTAATTAAAATTGCTTTAACCTAAAAATAAAATAGAATTTAATGTTGTTATCAATCAAAGATTTTGCTGCTTCTCGTTCTAAAATCTTACCAGACTTGTGTTCTAACTTATGGCCCCAATAAGATCATTACACTGGGAACCAAATTGTTTTGTAAACATACATTACAAAACAGTCAGCAAACCGTTCAACTGAATGAATTTTTAACTTTGGTGTCAGATTTCAAAGCATTGGGTCAAATTATGTTTTTGTCATAGTGTTGTTAATGCTGACACATACACCCCAGTGAAAACAGTATGTTCAGCTTGCCAGTCCACCACATAGGTATTTTCACCCGGACATTTAAATTACCCGTAGTTTGCTTGGAAGGCACCTTCCAGTATCTATTCATATTCTCCTGTATTCAGTTCCAGAAACTGCTGAACAACAGTGATACAGGTCTCTCATGATATTTCAGAATTTGATAATGTTACCATAGTTTATCATGATGGATTACTTGAAACTGGTACATCTTAGTGTCACTTGTATTTTCATGGGTTGTAAAACCATTTCAGATTTAGGGGTTAAGGTGACCAGGGAAGCGGCAAACCATTCATCAATGCATTGTGTTAACAGTATCTGATGAACATTCATGTACTTTAAATATAACAATCATTAATAAGTAAAGTGCGCGTTGTTAAAATGATTTGTACAAACTGTATATGTAATCACAAATTTGTTTGTATTCTAATTTGCATCCCTTTGATAGTGGTATGATCAGGCATGTTGAAATCTGGCGCCAAAGTTAAAAATTCATATAGCTGAATGGTTAGTTGGTTTGCTGACTGTTTTACAATGTCTGTTTATAAAACATTATGGCACCTTGTGTACAAGTAAGAATGAAAGTAGTACAGCAAACATATTGACTGAAATGTAGTAGGAAGTTTATGTGATTAGACTGCATAGTTTGCCGCAATATACATCTTTTCTTATTAGTAGAGATAGAGAAAGATATAATTCGCTAAATTAAATTTGTGCAATTTGTGCCAACAAACTCCTGTATGGATGTTAATTCACTGACATGGTTCTAATACATTATGTTGACATCAGTGAAAGTTGTTGTTTTGTTTTTGTTTTTTGTTTTTTGTTTTTTTTTTTGGGGGGGGGGGTGCTATTTTATAAAATTTAAATGTGACCTATATAATTTTGCTAAATACAAATGTTACTGACCTGAGGATCAGAGGTAATAATGTCAATTGCCTCTACTACTTGATGTTCTTGAACACCACCTCCAACATCAAGGAAATTTGCTGGATGACCTCCATATAAATCTATTATATCCATTGTTGCCATGGCAAGTCCAGCTCCATTTACTAGAATTAAAAAAATACAATGCAGTGGTTACTTTATTTTGAACAAATTATGTTGCAGTACACATGAAAAAAGCTGAAAATTCAATAAATCAACTAATTATAGAACATGAAAAGTGGCGGATTTCATAATTTGCCATGGTGTGCATGCATTATCTAGAATACTTCTAACAGTTGTCATTGTATGTCAGTGAAATAGGGTTCCTATCCCCTGGGTTAGAACTTCACAAATGCATTAAAGCCAATTAACAATTTCAGGGTTCTTTGTAAAAAAAAAAAAAAAAAAGAAAGTTTATTCCATTTCCACCATAAGCGGGCACACATGATGGGGTCACTATACTTCTGGTTTATCAGTACACACAAGACGTGATACAGAGAAACATACTTAACAGACCTAGGACAGACCTGTATCATTCAACTCTTCTAAATAATCTATTCCAAAAATCAAGTAGTAATTCACAATAAATTACATTTTCATTAGTTTGAGATTATTTCTCACTACTTGCAAAGTGAAATTTGCAATTTAAGCAGAAAAATATGTCATTTTATCTCTCACAACATAATAATGCTTGTTAACACTACACTGCTTCTGTAGATCTAAGGGAAGTCAAGTCATGCCATAATGGCACACTATTTTGCGCCATGTTTAGTTTTTTTACAAAATGTGATAGTATGTCCGAGCACTGTACATAGTATGTGCGAAATGTATCAAATGTAAAAAAAATTGTGATGAGCGATGATTTTTGACCCCACTGTACGTGAATGACGTATTTGCATTGTTATCACACAACAGAATGGAACATTTGAAGGAACTTAGAAAAAGTCAGTTGTCTTGATTCCCAAGTTTGCCTAGGTGCTCCTTCAGTGTTACTTATACTATTCTTATAATACCAAGACAATTTTATTAATTTTGGTTTTGAAAATTGGTGTTCTTTCTACTCAAGTTCCAGTCTGGCTTATAAAAATACCTTCCCCCCTTCCCCCTATTCCTGATTAGAATAGAAAAGAATGGGGAAAGATTAAACAAAGCAAATTGAATAGAATAATCACACAGAATACCACTCATTTCATTTTCAATAGTGAAGTAAAATACACACCAAAGTATGTACTAATGAAAAAGACTTACCAAGACACCCAATATTTCCGTCCATTCCAACATAATTAAGACCACATGCAGCAGCTCTAGTCTCTCTAGGATCAGTCTCTGATTCATCATCCATAGAAAAGACTTGTTTTTGTCGGAATTCAGAATTATCATCAAAGTTCATCTTGGCATCAAAACAAACAACTACAAATAGATTGTTTTTAGTTATTGTCAGAGATTCTGATATGCAGAAGTAAAAAACTAGATGTCAAAGGTGTTATATTTATGGCTGAATGACAATATTTTGTACAAACATTCAATATTAATATAATACAAAATCAAGACTTGTTTATAAAATAGCCATAACATTATTCTGTCACATACCCATATAATTTGTAACAGTCACCCAGTACAACACACATGTACTGGATTATAATTGTTTTAATATAAAATAAATACCTCTTCCATCCGGCGTTTCACCAAATGGGTTAATTTCCACTTGTGTTGCATCAACACCAATAAATAGTTTATAGAGATTCTGGATTTGCCTTGCAGCCTGAAAACCGAATGCCATCACAATAATAAATACAAGTATAGGACTAAATTGTGTAGTGTATTGAGTGCATGAGATAATGTTCAGTAAATTTCTGATTACTAATACATGTATATTTTTGATGTTGACTCAATGTAGTAACAACTTTGAAAAAGCTGTATAAATTTAAACAACTATTGTTTGGTGCCACCTAATCTGACAAAGAAATGGGATTTTTGAGTAAATACTGACACTCACACACAGCACAGTGACCTTTATGAAATACTAGTAGTGATGTCATTCTTAGCCAATCAGTAAAGCAGATGCATAAAGGTCAAAGATGATTGCTAGACTGTAAACAAAAGCATCGTGTGCCATCGCGGCAGAGCGACCCCATTTTCTTGTCTCTTTATTATGATTAGACATGAATGAAAAGTGCCAAGCTGACAGACTGCGAAATCCGTGGATTAAAAGTGCTATGTCCAAATTGTGTGGGACGATAGACGAACTTCAGGAATAAGTTGTAGGGATTTTGTTTGGCAGCTACAGTTACGCCGACTTGGACTTTGAGTTTGACGAAGATGGCAATGAACGTACAAATAAAAATCTGAGAAGTTTTTTTCAAACAGCTATGAATTTTTATAATTTTTACTGTGTAAATTTGTAAATTATTATTGATCTTGTATGACGGTTGATTCGTAAATTGTCGAGACAGAAAATCATTTTACGCAGTTTAACCCCTGACATTTTAATTCATTTTGAGTTCACGCGTTCTTGACGATGGGAAAATCCTAATTCAAATGATTCCTCACTGTCGATTTTATTATTTCTGGTTTATTTGTCACTTTATAAGCAATACATATTGTTGTTCTACTTCTAGTGTTGCATATTGTTCATTTACTTCCGTTGCATGTTTTAATTTGCCGTTCTATTCTCTGCTGCAGTTTGATCGAACTGCGTGTTGTCAATTTCCGCGAATTTTTGTTTTTTTGCCGGGGATCTCCTGGCAAACGCCCACCCCTTCTTTTTGGCAATTTTCCATGTTCAAGACCCTGGGCTTATACCCGGATAAATACGGTAATTTTCGCCATGTGTCGCATGCAAATTTTTTTTTTTTTAAATGTGTGCTGTATTTATGACTGTGGCACTTTCACAACAAATCAATACAATCCTTAAATATACTTAGTTGAATTGGGTTCCTCATCAGTTTGGAGCACATTCTACTGATATAAGCGTACCTCTGTTCTTTTTTCAGCATCAAAATCTAAATTAGCAGCCATGTCTAGTGCCATGTCTTCTGTAATGCCAACTGTGATATCAATAGGTTTCTGTCAAAACATAACGACAGTAAGACTAAGTACAGTTTGATGCATCTACAATACCTTAGAGTAAAATGCTTTGTCCGAGAGATGTTAAATTCGCTAAATTAAATTCACATGAAAGCAGATAATTAACAATAGAATTCATTGCTTCACTGCCAAGTTTATCAATTTTAACTTAAAACCTGGTGAAATTGCTGTAAAATAGTGTTTTACAGTACCAGCATTGACAGTTGATCGATTGTTAGGAATGCAAAACCTAGCTCCAATCGAAGTAATGAGTGAATTTTG